AACTTGCTTCAGGAAGTATGATACCATGTTGCCACTTGATATCCTTCATTCAATACTAACAAGAATAAACATAATAAATTTATACCTCTTTGCTCTTCTCTTGGGTCAGAAAATACACAGGTAAGATAAATACATCTTTGACATAAGGAACAAGTACAAGCACTTAAAAACCAGTAATCCATCTCAAGTCACCAAAGCACAGAGCTGCACACAAGTAGCAGGGCTATGTTGGAAAGGTTCTCAGAACCTCAAATCCAGCTGAGGGTCCTACACAATCCACTCAACCCTCCTGAGCACTTGTGTGCATCCACATTCGAAGGCTTCCCTGAGCTCCTCTTTAAAAAAAAAATGCTTTTGCTTTATGTGCATTGGTGTTTTGTCTGCATGTATGTCTGTGTGAGGCTGTCAGCGTCAGGTCCCCTAGAACTGGAGTCACAGTCAGTTGTGACCCTCCATGTGGGTCCTGGGAATTGAACCTGGGTCCTCTGAAAGAGCAGCCAGTGCTCTTAACTGCTGAGCCACCTCTCTAGCTCCAGTGAGCCCCCCAACTTCTCTTAAGGCCAAGAAGACTGATCTGAGAAGTCAAGAGAATTACCCACATAATCACACAGAAAATCAGTAGTAGGATCAGAACAAAAATCTGGTAAATTTAAACACCAGGGTAACTATTCTAAGGGGTCTCAAATAAACTCTCGAAAAAACAGCTTTTTCTGGGCCAACAGTGATTATATTTATTCCGGGAAGGGGGTTGTGAATAAAAGAAGCCAACAACTTCAGATTCCTCAGCAACTTCATGATGTGAGACCAAAATAATGTGAGAAGCCCAAGAGGGTTTCCAGGGAGAAAAAACGGGAGCTTGAAACTATAAAAACTTTAAACAAAAAGGAGGAAGTACTGATTCTGCAGAGGACCAGAGCTCAGTTCCCACCACCCACATCTGGCAGTTCACAAGTTTAACTCCAGCTCTAGGGGAAGGATGCTTCATGCACATTACCCACCCGCCGCCCCATACCTATGATTACAAGTAAAAAAAAAAAATTAATTAATTAAAAAAACCTGGACTCAGAAATCAGACAAATCTATATTCAGATCCTGGGTCTGACATCTTCACTGTGCAACCCTAGTTAGGCAATTAATTCTTCAGAATTCCTCATTTACAAGTGTTTAATTGATTTGATCATAATGAAGATAAACAACGATAATATCTAGCACACGGAAAAACACTCAAGAAACGCTATCAAGAAAATGAGAATGAGGACTTAAGAGAAAACGAGATTCAAGGATATCCTCAAGTCAAAGCTTCTGGAACTTTGGGCAAAGCCTAGGAGAATCGATAATACGCCAATCCTCTGTTTCAAGCTCTTCCAATTAGGGGATACGATCTCAACTCTTTGGAGGGCTTAAACCACCTACACAATAAGGCTTTATCTACTTCATGTTTTAAACATTCTCGTTAGTAGTTCATACCGTTTAGTCTATCTGGATCCTTTCCGATGGTTCCCTACACGTGGGATGCTCAATGCCTAGCATCTCATGGACATCACCTCAAATATCTCAAGAAGTTGTGACTTCCTAAGGGATCCAACTCTATCACATTACCTTGTCTTAATAGCTCTAATCTCAGAGGTCTCGTTTACTTATTCACAAACATAAGACAACTGCCCCCGTGAAGTTTGACCCTTGAAAAGACCCCATCACGCCCCAGTCAGTCAGTATACAAAAGGTGCTCTACTGCATTGTAAAATGTATAGATGTGAGGAGGACCGCTATATCAAGGGTCAGAGAGAGGCCTGAGTAACTTAGGATACAAGCCAAGATGACAATTAAAAAAGCAGGCAGAAGAGCCAAATAAGTTTTCCATAGGATGCTAAAGTGACGAAGATGTGGGAGCGTAATAGGAGGGCCTGGTGCGGCGGTTGGCGTGGGAAAAGACCCAGAACACTAGGTCAACGTGAGGCCTGGGCGCCGATGCGGGTGCATGACGCCTGCAGGCCCGGAGGGGAAACGAGGGGCGGGCTCCTACCTCGCGCCTGCAGCAGTCGCAGCGCGCGCTCGTACAGCGCCGAGGCCTCGGCGTACTGGCCGTTGCGGAAACTCTGGTTGCCGGCAGCGCGGAGCTCTTCCACAGAGTCTGAGAGTTTGGGGGCCATCCCGGGAGACCGGCAAACAGGGACCACCTCCGTTCCCCGCAGAGTAGTGCGCAACAGCTTCCGGGCGGAAGCGGCGGCTGCGTGCCCTTAAGGCCCGCAGCCGACTGGCCTCGGGGGGCGGAGCTAGATGGGGGTCGCAGCTAGGCGGCAAGGGACGGGAGGAAGCGCGGGATCAAGCCCTGCGAGGGCCTGGTGTGGCGGTTGGATGCTGGGAAAGGAGAGCCCGAAGGCTGAGCCAACTTGAGGCTCGGCGCGGGGATGCAGGTGGAGGACGCAAGCCCGGAGGGGGGAAACGCGGGGCGGGTTCCTACCTCGCGCCTGCAGCAGCCGCAGTGCGCGCTCGTACAGCGCCGAGGCCTCGCCATACTGGCCATTGCGGAAGTTCTGGTTGCCGGCAGCGCGGAGCTGTTCCACAGAGTCTGAGACTTTGGGGGCCATCCCTGGGAGGGCCGGTAAGCAGGGACCAACTCCGCTCCCGGCTCGCTAGTGCGCAACAGCTTCCCCCCGGCAGCTGCGGCTGCGTGCCTTTAAGGCCCGCTGCGGACTGGGCCCGAGGGGCGGGGCCAGACGGGGTGGGGCTAGGTGGCCGGGGGCGGGCGGAAGCGTGGGCTCAAGCCCTTAGGTCTGGCCGCTCATTGTTCTCCAGGGGTGGGGCCAGGAGGGGCGGAGCCAGGAGGATCGGGGGCGGGGCCTTCGAGAACCCAGGCCCTCTGCGCGTGCTCAGTCTGGAATTTGTGGTCCACTGGATTAAAGAGGGCGATGCTCCACGTTTCTTTCGGGATTGCGGTGGCGACCGTGACTGAATCTCAGAAGGAGCCGGATTGTCATCCCTTGTGAGGCTCACAGTCCGGGGGGCCTGGGAAACAATCCATGACCGAAAGAAGATGCATTTTTTTCGCCAAGAGATTAATATTATAAAGAAGCAAAGCGCGGGGTGGTGCAAATTTATGGAAGGCTTAAGGCAGCCGGTTCACGGCAACCAGGAGAACTTCACGGTCGACACAGTGAGACTGGCGAAACAGAAGACCATACACACAAAAGAATACAATGCAGGCCCCCCCACTCAAAAAAAAAAATCAACAAAATCCAAAGCAGCTGGGTTTGGTGGCTCAGGTCTGAAATCCTACCACGTGGGAGGCTAAGGCCAATGTAAGTGAGCTCCTGTTTTAAAACAAAACCAAGAAAACACACAACTGTGTTATAGGAAATAACGTGGAGGCTGTTAGACATGAGCAGGCTGAGGAAAGCCTCTGAGAGTAACTAATTGAGCTGAAACCTGAGATGTAAGGCGTAGGATTCCAGAGAGCTGCAAAGTACCTGGCATCTTGTGGGCCATAAAGTTTATTTAATGAGTGAATGCAAATGAATCAAGCACTTCCACTGAGGTTGGCTTCACTTTAAAACAATCGTTTTTAGTAGGTGTGGTGGGAATACCTGTAATCATGTAGTATGGAGGCTGCAACAGGAATATCAGGAATACCTGGCCAGCCAGGGCTACAACAGTGAGATGAAAACAAACCAATATATGCTAATTAAAAGTTAAAACAACAAAACTGCTAGTAAGCAAAACACCCCAGATTTGACCCATCGTGGTGGCACATGCTCCCAGCACTTGGGGGGCAGAGGCAGGCGGGTCTCTGGTCTACATAGTGAGTTACAAGCCACCCACAGTGTATATGAGATGCTACCTCAGACAGATCCCTACAAACAAACCCAAACTAAAAACAAAAACCCCCAAACCTCACAAAGCAAGTGTTAGGGCACAGAGAAGAAACCACAGAAATCTGTGAGCTTTGCTCTATCCGTCCACAACTCTGTAGTCCAGCTTGAGCTGAACCTAGACTGGCATTTTGGACCAAGTCAGTGGGTCTGCTGTTTCTGGGGGTGTGTCAGGTCCAAAGGGAACCCCCAATCCCCTCTCCTCCCCAAAAGGGCAGGCCTACTGACTAGGTCCAAGATGACCGTCTAGGCTCAGCTTATGTTGAATATTGACAGGGTAAACAAAAGAATTACTGGCCGGTAGACTGGTATATTCCTCTGGAACCTGTGAAACGAGTTTCTGTCTACCAAAAGGTGCCACTTAATATCTTCTCTTGCCTGTGGCCAAGGATACCTGTGGCTCTCTGTTGACACATAGCTGTGGTTACACATCAAAGCCCATGCTAACCTCCGGGCTCCTTGAGTCCTTAGTAACATGTACCTGTTATGAATATCAAAGCCCCAGGACGCTAGCATCCTGGCCCTTCTCTCCTCCACTATGCTAGCTCCCAGGCTGTTCTAGTTTCAGCTAGCTCGCTCCCCTCCACAGCAGCTCTGCTTTCTAGTTATGGCAAGTTTGTTTATTTTACCCGACACGCAGTTCTCTCTCTCTGCTATTTTTTTCTGCTCCCAAGAAATAGTCCTAGCCACTCTGCTTTTTCTCTCTGCTCTGGATTCATTCAGATGCTTCTGGCTGTTCTTATCTACAATAAAAACCTCCCCAGTCATGGACCGGACATTTCGGTGTTTTTTTTTTTTTTTTGTTTTGTTTTGTTCTGTTTCTTAACTGCACTCTAGCTTACAGGGTGCTTGCAGCTTTTCCCTTTTTTCCCTAAAAAGAACTCAATTCTTATAAAGCCCATGCTTTGCTAATAGCCTCACTACAGGAGAAATTGGGGAACCCTTAGGCAATCAGGCTTCAAGTACTCAGTCCAAAGGCAAGTCAAGGGGAGGTGTCGCTAACGCTTGAGCCACCAGAGGCCGCCCGAGAGGCGCCTCTTCGGTTTCGGGCTTCTATAGCTGCGCGCCACAGTATCACGTGACCCACGTCGCTCACGCCTCCCCCTCCCCGCCGCTTCCGGTAGGGGCGGAAAGCGGAAGTGTGGGAGGGTTTGCGGGGCGGGCTTCGGGAGGATGGAGTATTGAGGCGGTCTGGGCGGCTGCCGGCAGCGCCATGGAGACCGTGCAGCTGAGGAACCCGCCGCGCAGGTGAGGGGCCGGAGGCTGAGAGGAGGAGGATTGGGTGGGGAGGGATGGCGCGAATTTGCTGAGCGGAGACACCTGTGTGCAAGCACCGGGCGGAGAGGGACCCGCGAGATAGGCGACCTGGCTGCAGGAGCACCTGCTGAGTGAGGGAGCATCCGCCGGCCGGGATAGAAAATGGGTTTGGTTAGAGGGAGCACTCTCCGTGGGGCACTCCGCCGAGCAACGTGGGACAAGTTAGGGCGACACCTGCTGAGGCCGGGGAAAACTCCCCAAGAAGAGACTCGAGGACTTAGGGGCCAATGCCGAGGGCGGTTGAAAGCGAACCTGTTTGGGATGAGCGAGGACTACTCGCTGAGAGGGTCCTGAGTCCCACAGACCATGCGGTGGGGAAAGGTCTGTTGCATTGCTTCTGAGACAGAAGTTGGTAGGAAAATTTGTTGGAGGCATCATAGCTAGGTGGTCCTGTCCAAAGTCATTGCTCCTACCTGCCTTACTGTGGAAGTACCAGTTTCGTGGGTCTAATAATGGAGAAAAGGTCGTGGAGGAGAGTTTCCAAGGATGTTCTGGGTGTCATCCCCATGTGGGAATGATGATCGTGGTGGTGGTGGTGAAGGCTTTTGTTGCTGATGTCCTGAGTGCCTGCCTAATTTTCTTCCTAATCCTCCTCAGCCTTCCAAAACCCAAAGTTGGGACATAGATAAGGAAAGAAAATACCGGAGGATGGCTAAGCTGAGGTCCAATAAATAGTCTAGACACAGTAGATCCAGCCAGACTGTGTCCTTTTAAAATTCTGTTTCAGTACTATCAGCTCCAGATTCGAAAAGTCTCTGGAATTGTTTTGGGTGAAGAAGGACTGACTCTAGGAAGTCTGGACTGGTCGATGTTGTGTTGGACCACTCCCCCTCACCTGGAGAAAAGAGCGCAGAGCCCGAGGGAGTCACACTTCTCTCAGATGCAGCTAAAAACTTCGGTTTCACAGAGAAGACATTTGACTTCCTGTAGCAGAACGAGCACTGAAATAGGAAGTGTTCAGAAGAAGGGAGTGCCCGCAACTGAGGGGGGAAGGGAGGGGGTGAAGGGAGGGGATTGAAAGCCTGGGCAGCACTCTTGGGGGTTGGTGGAAGTACACAAACGTGGAATAAAACCAGTAGCTTGTTAGTGTGGTGTGCCGAGCCTGTGGTAGCAGTGATCATTCATTACACCCAGAGAGTGCTTACAGGGTGCCAGGCACTGTTTTAATTGCTTTCCATCTCGCCTCTTCAGCCATCTGAAATTGCTGGTGTCTGGCCACTTTTGCACTTGTAAAAATGGTACTTTGAGATGGTCCAACTTACTGACTCACTGACCTTCAGAACTGTCACATAAGGAGGATATCCTTGCATCCCTGTTTCACAGATGATAAAGCCAGGGCACAGAGAGGCAGGTCATTGGTTAGCTGCTCCATAACTAGTAAGAGGCAGAGTTGGAATTTTAGTGTCTGGTGATCTAGTCCAAAGCCTTGCTCTTAAATTTTTCCCTACTCTTGACATCTCTCTGGAAGTTACCTGCTACGTTGGGTCTTCGTATAAGTGCATCTTAGCAGATAGTTACCGTGTGTGTGTGTGTGTGTGTGTGTGTGTGTGTGTGTGTGTGCAGTCAGTCACCACCAGATTTCTTCTTTCTCTTTGCTTCTTTTTCCAAAACCTTCATTTGATCAAAATGAGAATTGGGAATGTGAGTTTGGTGGTTTCTGGCAGGTTTTTTTGTTTGTTTGTTTGTTTGTTTTTTTTTGACTTTGATCATCCTTGTATCTTTTGGATTTTTTAGTTTTTAGTTTTTCAAGATAGGGTTTCTCTGTGTAACAGCCCAGGCTGTCTTGGAACTTGCTTGGTAGATCAGGCTGGCCTCGAATCGAGTGCCTCTGCCTCCTGAGTGCTGGGATTGAAGGTGTGTGCCGCCACTGTCCAGTTTACTTTTTGGATTTTAAGAACTGTAATAAAGTGCAAGGGAAGAGCATTGCAGGACCGAATTGTTGGATGATTGGTGTTGTCTTGTTCCCTGTAACTAGTGGGCTGCTGGGTCTTAGTATCATCAGTATTAACTGGCTTGAGTGGCTGGAAGAAGTACCACACCGGATGGTGTAAACAACAGAAATTAACTTTATTTGCCTTTCTGGAGGCTGGAAGTTTAAGTGTCTTTGGCTTACAAATGGCCATCTTTCTCTCACTTCTTTATGTGGTCCTTGTTCATATCTGTTCCTGCCCTCACCTCTTCCGCTTACAAAGTCACCTATCTCCAGACACAATCTCGAGTTCTGACGTTCTTTGAGTTAGAATCTTAATGTCTGGGTGAAGGTTTGGGCATAGTCAATTTAGTTAACTTTTGTTTGAGACAGGGTCTCACACTGTAGCTCAGGCTGGCCTCAGACTCAGTATAGTCCGGCTGCCTCAGTCTCCTGAGTGCCAGGCAGGAGCCATTGGACCTGACAACTTTGTTATTAAAATGTTTCAGTTTATCTTTTATATTTCATGTAATTGGTAAAATTCTGTTAGAGGGATACATTTGCATAAAAATGGACCTTTGAGAGCTCTGACATGGGGTGGATGCTTGAGAATTAGCCAGATCTCAGCCACCACATCATAACATTTCTTGTATTGGGAAAGGTACAGATGTCTTCTTGAGAGATTCGGGTTGTGTGCTGCCCAGCAGTCTCAGTGCAGGAAATACTCTTTGTATTCATGAGCTTGACATTCGTGTGTGTGTGACTCAGTGACTGATGATGGATGGTGTCTTGCAAGAGTTAGTAATTTTAAAACGTAAGTTGCCGTTGGGTAATGGTGTAGTAGAAGGCTGAGGGTGCATTCCTGGGATGCTGGCCATTCTTGTGTCGGCTGACTTAGGATAGGGATATCACCAACATTTGGTGTGTGTAATTGTATTTATTGGACAGGCCTGTTCATTATGAGCAAGTAAAAACTGGAGTGGGATGTCACCTCTGAGTGAACTTCATGCTGCAGTTCACCAAAGTCAGATCATTTGGGTAATAGTCCTCATCCATGAAGACTCAGTCACTTAGCAGATGTTTCATAGAAGTTTTATGTGTTGATAACCAGTTAGCATTTTAGATGAAATTTTATTTTGATGAGTCAAGTGTGGTGGTGCATTTCTTTAATCCCAGCATTTTGGAAGGCAGAGGTAGATGAAACTCTGAGCTTGAAACCAATCTGGTCTACAGAGCCAGTTCCAGGATGGCCAGGGCTCCAGAGAAAACCCTGTCTCAAAAGAGAAAAAGAAAGAAAGAAATTCTGTTCTGAGAACACAGGATACATAGATTACTACTCAATGTTATGCGATTGCCACCCCACATTGGCTGATCCATTTAGCAAATGGTTTCTAGCCATCTCTTGGTTATTTGGCACCAGAGATAATAACGCTTCTTTAAGTTTAAAGTGTTTTAAAAATTCTAGTCACAAAGCGAAACTCCCACATAGATTGTTTAAAAGAGGCACGTGAGCATTGTTTAAAGTTTGTCCGAGTGTTATCGAGTCTTGCAACTGTCTCTTAGGGCCGAGGCGGTTTCCTTTGTTATTCTGTGGTCTCTGAAATAGCCACGTTGGCTTTTGTTAAACTATAAGAGTCAACACTCGAAAGAGAATCAGATCTCCTTTATATAAGCTGTATATGAGTTTATTCTTGATGGATGAGGTATTGTCCATTGTTTATACAGCTATGATTGGGGATTTTACCAAAAACCCTGGCATATGAGCTGTTGGCTTGAATTTCTGAGACTGTAGAAATATCACTTCTGAAGTTTAAGAGGAGTTTCACTTCAGCCCTTTTGTTTTGAAGCTGGGAGTTTTTATGAAGTCATTGGGATTTCAATTTTAGAATCTTCAAATGTCAGTGTAGTCTTTTGTAACTCTTCAAGTTAAGGCATTACCTTTCTGTGGTTCTCCATTTCTCTATGGAATTCTCCAAGACTGCCCCTTTGAGGTCAGGGCTCGTTGGTAGTAGTTATACTTCATGTGGTCAGGCTTTCTTTACCCTTAATTTTATTTTTTCTATTTTTTTAAAAAAGCCATTTCCTTTAAGAATTGGTATTGTTTGGTGGGTTCAAGCCTTTTTTCTGCACAAGAAATTTACAGTGTGACGACTTCCATATTTCACCATTTCCTGAGCTGTCTTTTCTTTGTTGTCTTTTGTAGCTTCAGGAAACCATTGTGTAGAACACACACACACACACACACACACACACTTTTGTGTAGAACACACACACACACACACTTTTGTGTAGAACACACACACACACTTTTGTGTAGAACACACACACTTTTGTGTAGAACACACACACACACACACACACGCACACACTTTTGTGTAGAACACAAACACACACACGCACACACACACACGCACACACACGCACACATGCACTCCACAGCAAACTCTTTACGCCTGTTACTTTGTTTTAGTAGAGGTCTCAGAGTTTTAAACTTGAAATGTTGCTTTTTAACCTCTCCAGTTTATTGTGGCTGTCTAGCGTGGCTGCAGAGTTTGACCCTTTTGGTTCTTGGCTCTAGTGAAAGGTGCATGCCTGATCCCGGCGGGAGGGGCTCACTGAGACTGTTTAATCTCCCTGCCGTCAAGTCAGTTTGCACTTTTGGGTCTGTATAAATGTCTGCTTTCTACTTCCTGTTTCTGTGTCACCTGTAGAACCGAGTTGGGTAGATGAAATGACCAAAGCTTTGCCAATAGAAGGAAAAGGTCAGCTAGTTCATTTAGGCTTACATATACAGCCTTACATTTAAACGTCTGTTTTGAAGAGATAGCTGTGCCATTTAAATTCATAGAAATAATTTACCTAATGTGTGGCTCTGCACTCTAACATTTCATCTCATGATACTTTATTTTTCATAAGTTTTTCAACCATAGAGAACTTGGCCCTCTTAAGGTAGCCTGATCCACTATAGGGCAGCTTTTCTCATTAGAAAAGTCATATGTATGTTGAACTGAAATTTGATTCCTGGCAGCTCTTCATGTTCTATGTGCTCATCGGGTGACCCAGCAAAAGTATAATCCCTCCTTAAAGAGAGCTAGGGATGGTGGTGAACACCTATAATCCAAGCATTTGAGAGGCTGAGGCAAGGGGATTGTAAGTTTGATGTCAATCTGGGTTACAATAGTGAGAGCCTGCCTTAAAAAAAAAACTCTTAGCTTTACTAATAGTTACTAGTAGAGAAAGTAGACTTTGTAGAGCAATTCCTAGAATTGTATTTGTAAAATAAACAATGTACTTTATTTTTTAATTGCAAATAAGACATATTTTGTGTTTATATTTCTTCATCCACAGGCAGCTGAAAAAGTTGGATGAAGATAGTTTAACTAAACAACCAGAAGAAGTGTTTGATGTCTTAGAGAAACTTGGAGAAGGGTGAGTATAGTTAGAATGTGTATAGAGCAGCGGGTCCCAGTCCTTCTCCTGGCACAGTAGCTGAGGGATGTGAGCCTCTCATGGTGTAAAAGTCAAGCCTGCACAAAAGAAAGAACGCCGCGTACAGCATCGTTCCAGGTGGTGTGGGAGGTACATTTCTGCCTGCAATGCCTTGTCAGTCTTCAGCCTATCACTAAACTTAGTGGTTTATCAGTAATTTCCAGTCTTTTTAATATTAAGGGTTTTATTGTTTTTTCTTACAGAATCTGTGATGTGTATGATTTTATGTAGTTAACAGAAATGCTAATTACATTATAATTCATTAAGGTTTTAAAAAGTCAGCCAGGATGGTGGCCCACGCCTTTAATCCCAACATTTAAGAGGCAGAGGTATGTGGATCTTTGTGAGTTTGAAGCCATTCTGGTCTACGTAGCAAGTTCCAGGTCAGCTTATATAGTGAGACCCTGTCCAAAAAAAAAAAAAGAAAGACATAGGCAATTTTATATGCTGATCAGGATTTCTGACTAGTATGTAAAAATTAGGAAATTCAATGTTTTTGTTGCAGCTTTGTGAAAAATAGCAAATAAACTGAGAGCGGTTGATGTCTTCTCAGGAGATCCACCATCTGAGGTTGGGAAACTGAGCTTCTTAAAGGACCGATTTCCAGTGGAGGTCCTGAAATGCTGCTGCAGTGACTGCAGTAATAGATGATGGCTGTGATTGATTTTCATTGACACAGGAGGGCATGGCATCAGAGTTTCTTGTTTTGGTTTTTTCGAGACAGGGTTTCTTTGAGTAGCTCTGGCCGTCCTGGAACTCAGATAGACCAGACTGGCCTCGAACTCACAGAGATCCGCCTGCTTCTGCCTCTTGAGTGCTGTGATTGAAGTTGTGTACTACCACACTCGGCTGCATCAGATTTCTTATACTTCTACATATCCTTTCAATTTAATTCTGTATATTTATTGCTTCTTCTGTAATGATCAGTACATTAAAATGCTAGGGATACCTTAAGTGTTTAGCTTTTGAATAGGTAATAAATTCATATGATTCAGAGATAGTTAATGCATATGTAAACAGGCATTGTCGTATATGAAATTTTAGTCCCTTCAGAATACCTCTGACTAATGACTGACTGACTGTGCTTTTTTCTTTTTCTGTGGTGGTAGGGATTGAACTCAGGGTCATACACACGCTAGGCTGTGCTCTGCTTGAGCGAAGCCTCCCCTTCCCTCACTGTTTGAGAGTTTAGTGTTGGTATGTTTAAATACAGATCTGTACTAATGACAAGTGCAGTTCTGGCTTCCATGGAATAGATTTTCACGCATTGCCTCCGTGTTGAAAACATCAGTCTTCAACTTTCTGTTAGTTGAAAAATTACTCTTTGGGATCCATCAAAAAAATCGAGCAGAGGAAGGAAGGAAAAGAACATGAATTGTGATGTCCCAGGACAAGCCCAAGATGGTGGAAGACTGCCCATGGAATGACATCATTAAAGGTATGAGGTAGCGACAGCCTCTCTGTATCTCTTGTCTGGGATCTGTAGCTTTAGCTTGCTTGGCATTCTTGCTGTTCTCCTGAAGGCGATTAGTCCATGCCCCTTAATCTAACAATGTTTATAGGTAGTTTTTGGAATATGATATAAGTGGTGGACATATATGTAACTAACTTGCTTTTTTCATTTTTAATAAAAGCATGTTAGAGTAGTCAAGAACCCACGCACTGAGGTCACACAGACCCTGGTTAAAAGCCTCGGTGTCCTGTTTATAGCATAACAGATGAGCTTGTATTTTCGACCCTCACAACCTTCATCCACAAAGTAGGGATAATAGCAATATCTGTTAAATGGTGTCGTGGAAAGTACTACATGAAGTAACAAATGTTAAGTATGAGGTACAGTGAGTGTCACGAACTGAATGCTCAGTAAGACCAACCATTATTTTTGAGTGTATCAGCTGAAGCATTTTTCAGACCTTATGTCACATCAAAGCTAAATCTTAAGTCTTAAAGTACAGTTAGGTGTTCTTAGCGGGGCCTGCTTGCTGTGCCTGATTTAGGAAATACCGAAATTAGAGGCAGAAAATGTCAGAAAGATAATGTGGGGAAGAAAACAAGCTAACTATGTTGTTTTTTAATTGTGTTTAGATCCGGACGTCTTCAGCAGAGAACTTGGGAATTTCCCTCTAAAGATCCTTCCTCATGCTGTCATCTCATTGAACTTTTGAGTGACACCACAGACACTTGAATTTTTGTCGTCCTGACTTAGTGAACCTGGGCAGTTTGATGGAGCTGGCATGACCCCAAAGGAAGACCTTCCTTACCTGTGCTTCTCGATTGTGGACGCCACACCACCTTCAGATGTCCCTTCGGTGAAGGCTTTGAAGCCGCTGGACTTGGCTCGTTCTCAAAGCGAGCTTGTGCTGAAGAACCGTATTGGGTCCTGGAGCTGTGGTCATGCAGTTTTGAAGAAATCATGTGGCTCTGTGGCAGGGCAGTCACAACTTGAACTGAGATGAGTGGAGAGCATCTGGAATGTTTAGAACGGAGCCTAGCGTCCATTTGCTTCTGTTACTTCCAAGTTTTACACGTTGGCTCTTTTAGTTTTTTTTTTTTTTTTCTTTTTGCAGTATTAGATCCTCATGTGCTTTAGGCAAGTGCTCTATCACTGAGCTACATTCCCAGCCTTCATTGAAGCTTTTATCATAATAACAACTTATTCCCATAGTTTCCTAGCTAATGAGTGGAGTGAGACCTGTTTGTGTTGGCGCAGATACTGTTTATTTCCATGTTTTTGTTTTTTTCATTCATCCATACTTTGATGGTTTTGTGAAACAGCTACTTCATTATGTTGGGTTAACGTTGTAGGAATCAGGTCTTAAGGGACTTGCCTGTGTGTGGATTATTAGCTACTTTATTGCTTTGACGGAATACCTTCTGGAAACAACTGCAGAAAGGAGGAAACTGCCTCCATTTGAGAGCGTCTAGTCCAACATGGTGGAAAAGTGTGGTGGCAGGCACGGCTTGCAGCGTGCCAGGGGAGCCTAAGGCAACTGGGGCACTAGACAGAGGGAGTTCCGAGGTAGGGTATAAACCTCAAGGCTCACCCGGTACCAGCTCACTTCCTCCTGCTTGGTACCACCTTACAAAGGTCCACAGCCTTCTGAAATATCATCATCTTCTGGGGACCAAGTGTCCAATCACATGAGCCTGTTAGGGACATCTCAGTTCCAAACCATAACCTTGGACGTGATTGTCAAAGCCCAACTCCTTCAGATTGTGATCGCTATGGTGTGTTGGGGTCATGAGTCTTTGCTCCTTGATCACCTGCTCTGTTGGAGTTCCTTTGCTATCAGGAGAGGGTAGGGGGTAGGGATTTTGTTTTGGTCATGATTACAGAACAAGTTCACTGGGAAGACTTGCTTTTCATTCCTGATGCATAAGAATAATGAGTAAAAATTCTATTAAATATTTAATCGTAGGGCAAAGGCATTAGCTTATTTGGTGCATCAACTCCTATTTATAGTAAAATTATGGAATGTTAAAACATGGAAAGCTGTGGAGAGCTTATCTATGAAGAATATTGCTCTCATGAAAGCAGACTTTCAGAAGCAGTAATGTGGGAAACTACAGTACTAGTGCTGAGAGAAAGAAAATTTTGCACCCAGCAAACTCATTCCAGCACGAAGATATTTTTGTGCATACGGGGTCTAGTGTTTCAGAAAGGCCTTTGGATGGCAGTAACAACACCTGCTAGCAGTGGCCAACTATGATGATGTAGTGACAAGCTAATCCATCTCCCAGAAGTGGATAGTTGACTTGCTAATGGTCGGTCTGGGCAGCTCTTACAGTCACAAGATGGTTATATTAGTTGCAAGTGTCATCCCTGTTGACAGTAACCAAAGCCAGGAGGAAAGTGACAGGTGAAGATGGACAGCCCTATGTGTTTGTCTTCCCGGGAAGAAAGACTTCAGAATTCTAGCCATACAGTGGCTGGATCGAGGTTAGATTTTTGCTGCTGGTTCAGTTTCCCCAAGGACTAACACCTGCCGTCCTAATTGAGAGTTACTTCAGCAAGGAACAGAGGGCAGTGGCTGGGTCTTCCACGGATGCTCAGCAGTTGGCTTTCTGTTGTAAAACAGTGTTTGAAACTCTCTGAGTGTCTTCTTACTCCTTTTTAAGTGTAAGGGATTCAGATAGAACTTTATATGTGCTCTACATTCATAGATACTTCTTTTTTTAAAAAGAAGTTTTAAAAATCTATTTTGACATTAAGATAATTCCTTTTTTGCAGTGTGAATGCTCTGTTATTTTGACATCTTAGGTCACAGTCTTTATTTTGATTTTCTTTTCACCAAGATAGTATGTAGAAACAGGTGTGTTTGCGAAATTTATTCTTTTAGGTTTTTGAGACAAGGTTTCTCTGTATAGCCCTGTCTGACCTGAAAGTTCTGTTCTTCTGTAGACCAGACTGGCCTTTAACTCACAGAGATCCACCTGCCTCTGCCTCTCAGGTGTTGGGATTAAACGTGTGTGCCACCACTACCTGGCATGTTTGGGAAATTTAAAAAGATGATTTTCTCATATTTTACTGAGAGCTGCCCTGGACATTAATGGAAAAACAAAAAACAAACAAACAAACAAAAAACTGTAAGATTCTGGTGGGATCTCACTTGAGCACCATAACTGTCTTGGAAGGGAGTTTGTATTTTTTATTTTATTTTATTTATTTATTTATTTATTTATTTATTTATTTATTTATTTATTTATTTATTTATTTTTGGTCATCTTGTGAATAAGACAACCAAGGCACAAGAGAGCTAACTCATGTGTTTATAACAATGGGGGACGAAGTCTTCCATCTTTAGATTCTAAACCTAATGTTCTCACAGCACCCAGATTGAATGAACATAGAACCTTGGTTTTGATAAGGAGCTTTTCAGGGAAGATGAAGCAGAAGGTAGAAAGATTTGCATATGCACTGTTCTTCTGACACTATCATGAAGGAGGCTTAGGTCTTAACGAGTCTCCATATTTTAAACATTGCAGCATGTGAGAGGAACAAGGACGGAAAGACTAATAGAGTGGCTGTAGGAAAACAGACACACGTGTTGTGTTGTTGTGGAGAGGAAACAGCATTATGTTCAGTCTACATGGGTTCGCATTGTAAGCTCATCACTTAGGTGACCTTGGGTAAATCAAGTGACCTCTAAACTTTTAATTTTTACGTCTAAAATAATCACGTCTTTGTCTTTAAAAAAATTTTTATTATCAAAGAATAGGCCCAGATGTATTTTTCTAGCAGATATCAGGGATGGTGGATGGAAACTACTACAGTAATTTGAAAATCATAGTTTAGACCTGATAACTCTTTGGGTGCTAGGGATTAAACCCAGGGCCTTGTTCATGCTAGATAAGTGCTCTACCACTGAGCGACACCCTGGTTCCCAAATGTGAAGTTTTAGGGTGCCATCTTCTCCCCCAGGTATTTAAGCCATGTCAGTTTTGCAAATGTAACTAAGCTTGTAAGCATTAGGCGTTTGGGATAGAAAGTAGGCTTGTGGGTTGATTATGCTAACCTGGCTTTCTGTGTGGGTGCTCTGGCTTTATAAAGCATCTCCTTCCCCAACTGCAGGTCTTATGGCAGTGTGTACAAGGCTATTCATAAAGAGACTGGCCAGATTGTTGCTATCAAGCAAGTGCCCGTGGAGTCAGACCTGCAGGAGATAATCAAAGAGATCTCCATAATGCAGCAGTGTGACAGGTAAGGGCATCCTCTGACAGAACGCGCTTCTGTGTTTGCTCTGATCACATGCTTTGACACCTACAGATGGACTTGCTGAGGCGTTTGCAGAGGGCGAGGTCGGTGGATGACTGCGTACTTTCTGAAAAATGAGAAGCATGTATGTTTTCCTAGATACACAGTTTCTATTTTTGCATTTTCCCTTTCCTCAGTTAGCTCTTAGAGATGAGGAAGAAGAGGCAGACAGTGGCGCCTTCTTTCTTTCTTCCTTTCTTCTTACTTGCTTGCTCTCTCTTTCTTTTGAGAAAACTGAGAGATAGCTGAGATAATTCAAATACCTTTTAGCCCCAGAAACGGTAGACTATCAGATAATTCAAATATCTTTTAGCCCCAGAAACTGTAGAATATCAGATTGGTCTATAAAAAGGGACTATTTGTTTAGGTATTCACTGTTATTTTTATTCTTGTCAAGAGTTCTTAAGTGTTTTAATTTTGAGGAACTAAGATTTGTCAAAAGCTATAAGCAGGAAGTTGGCCCCAAAGTCAGCCACAGAAGAGCACGTGATCTGCCGTGAAGTTCCATGACAACATGAGCTGGTCACTGATGGAGCGGGCATACCCAGCCCTCTTTAGGTGGGACAGACAGACAAGTAAGGTGGAGGGCAGGCCTAGGTCCAGGGGTTGGAAGTGAGGGTGAAGAAGTTTTGCACTTGAGGCTGCATCCGCGGCCGTGTTGGTGAGAAAGTTTACTAATCCCTGTTTGTCAGGCTTCAGCGGTAGATTGTGGCGGGGCAAAGGGTCTTGTTATTTTGCAGGGACCTTGAATCTCCCCGACCTTGAAGTATAGCTGCCACTCATCTTCTATTGTATTTTCCTTTTTGTGGTTATTGTCCACTATACAAAAACCTCCATTTTTTTTTTTTTTCTGGCTGGATTGGCCAGAATTAAGTTAGCAGTTTTTCTTTTTCTCTATATGATTTACTTTACTCAAACTCGTTTTAATTGGCAAATTGTATATAAACAGAGTATGGAAAATGCTTCTAACTAAAGAGTTTTTTTTTTTTTTTTTTTTAAGATTTATTTATTTTTACTTTTTTATGTGTATGCTTGCATGTATGTATGTGGACCACAAGTACCTGAAGACTGTGGAGGCCAGAAGATGGTATCAGATCCCCTGGAACTGGAATTATAGACAGTTGTGAGCTGTCATATGGGTGCTGGAATCTGAACCTGGGTCCTCTGTAAGAGTACCGTGTGCTAGGAAGTGATGTTTTGAAGATCCTTCTGGGTTAAGCCTTCTAATAAATAAAAAAGACAGGGCAGAGTCCTCGTGCTCTGGGAGTTTTGTTTGTTTGCTTCTTTGTTTTGTTTCTTTGTCACTGTCTTTTGAGTAAGGGCAGGGTTTAGGGGACCTGTGCCTGGTTTGCTAGAAAAAGCAGCTGGAGTGAGAATGTCGGTTCCCCCCTTTTTCTGGGAGTTCACAGGCCAGGCATGTACAGTCAGGAAATGTAGCCGACAGTACAAGACTGCACAGAGCATATCCCAACAGTGTGTTTGGACGATCAAGTAAGTGACTGCAGGAGGAGAGGGAAGGGAGCACGCAGGGGGTGGCGTGGCGTGGCGTGGCGTGGCGTGGCGGAGTGTGTGTGTGTGTGTGTGTGTGTGTGTGTGTGTGTGTGTGTGTGAGTGAGCCGTAGGGACTCGGTTCCTGTGCTGTGTTTTCCTTCTGTCCTTGTCACTGGTGTATGTCCCGAGAATGGAGGGGCATTTGAGATGGAAGGTCAGGGAGCCTGGGTAGTTTGAGCGTCTTTGGTTGCTATGCAACCTGGCTTCCAACAGCAGTCCAGCTGTTAATGCTACAAGTTGTCAAGACAGATTTTTCATTTTACTGGGGTGCTTGACTTCTCAGGTATTTCTTATTTGGTGTCTCTCTTCAAATTTAAGACCTAAGGTTCTAGATTTGATACTAAACTTTCTTTATATTATGTAGTGATGTTTTTGTTACTCCCAATTATACTATGACTTTTTGGAAAAAAGAAAAAGAAAAAAGATTGTTTTCCTTTTTGGTAAAATTTGGTAAAACAATAATTTGTTATATATCCCTTGGTATATCTTTCCATGTCTCTGTGGCTGTGATTACTTTATTGTTTTATAGCTTACCTCTCTCTTCTCTCTGGTAAACAGGACACACACACACACACACACACACACACACACACACACACACACGCATTTTATGTATATGGGTGTTTTGCCTACATGTGTGTCTGTGCACTACCTGCCGGCCTGGTGCCTGAGGGTAGAAGAGGGCATCAGATCTCCTGTAACTGGAGTTACAGACAGTGGTGGGCCACCATGGGGGTCTTAGGACCTGAACCCCGGTCCTCTGGAAGACCAGCAAGTGCTCTAACAGCTAAGCCATGTCTCCAGTCCCAGGACATACTAACATTATTTATTAAATATTCCTCTAACATGTTCCATGGACTGGTGGTGCCATTATCCCTTAAGTTCCCTCATGTTGGATAGTCATTTAAATTGTATCTAATCTCTCTTTGTTATCATTCTGTGTTGGTAGCTAATTTTTTTGAGAATTTGTCATTATTTTCTGAGGATAAATTATACACTTAATACTGTTCTCTTGTTTTGAATGTGCATTATTACTCTTAGGAAAAGTGATCCCATTTCATGTTTTTATCGGGAGATTGCCCCCTTAGTCCTAACTAGAAATAATTCAGTTTTTGAGATGAGAAATTGTTTTCCATGCATTGAACAGAGTGAATTAAACGTCTGCGGACGTTCCACTGATTTGTGTTGTGTTTCTCCCCAGCCCTCACGTAGTCAAATATTATGGCAGCTACTTTAAGAACACAGACCTGTGGATCGTCATGGAGTACTGTGGGGCTGGCTCTGTGTCGGACATCATTCGGTTACGGAACAAGACGGTAAGTTCACCTCCCAGGAGGGGCTGCGTGCGGGGCTAGCATTCTTGTCGTCTTTCTCGGGCCTTTCGTTCACATGCTGCTTCTACAGCAGGGAAATGACTGTCAGATTCTTCCTTTTCCTTGGGTCTTTGCTGCTTTTTACTCCCCTCCCACCTCCAACAAAGACAGAATCTCAGTATGGTCTTTACTTTTGATTCTTTTGCTCCAGCCCAAGTGCTGGGATCACAGGGGGTTACCATCACCCCCCCCCCAATGCTGGGATCACAGGGTGTGTTACCACCCCCCCATCCTCCCCCAGTGCTGGGATCACAGGGTGTGTTACCATCACTTTCCCACCTGAGTGCTGGGATCACAGGGGGTGTTACCACCTCCCCATCCCCAGTGCTGGGATCACAGGGTGTTACCACCCCCCCATCCCCACCTCACCCCCAGTGCTGGGATCACAGGGTGTGTTACCATCACTCCCTCCCCCCACCTGAGTGCTAGGATCACAGGGGGTGTCACCTTCACCCCCCCCCCAGTGCTAGGATGACGGGGTGTTACCTTCACCACCCCCACCTGAGTGCTAGGATCACAGGGGGTGTCACCTCTAGCCCAAGTATTAGGTTCACAGGGGTGTGTAACTCCCTGCCCAGCTCAAGTGCTAGGATCACAGGGTGTGGCACCATGCTCAATTATCTCTTAAATGTGACAATTTGATATTGACTCATTCCAGTGAGTTTTGTTTACTTCTTATTAGGTAAAACAATTATCAAGTCATGGTTTGGGGATGAATTTTCATTTTTTGAGACAGGCTTTCATGGTGAAGAGTAACCTGGAACTGACAGTGTAGCCCAGGCTGGCCTTGAACTCACATTCCTCCTATGTCCTTCTCCCTACCAGGTCTGGCTGTTATAGAATGACTTTTAAAAATATATGAATTTTAAAAGTTATGTGTCTGAGTAGGTTTGTGTATGTGAGTATAGGCACCCATAGAGGCCAGGTCTTGCTTCCCCTGCAGCTGGACTTACTGGTAATTACGAGCCCCACAGTCTTCAGGAAGAGCAGAATGCTCTCTTAATTGCTGAGTCGTCTCTTCACCTCTAGGAGTTTTGAATGTTTACTTTTGGATTTGAATTTGTCCTCCTACCAAGTATAGGCACAGAGTGGTTTCTTCTGCTTGCTGTTGCATAGGGAATGAGCCTATTATAAAAGAGTGTTTGTTATGCCTGAGGTTGTAGGGTGCAGAGTACTGCTGTAGGCATTGGGGATCCAGTAGAAGAGACCACAGCGTATGGTGTGTGCTCTATGGCAGCACACCTTTTTGTAGGGAAATCAAAGCAAACAGGTAGCAGCTGGAAAGAAAATGCCGGGTAATGAGAAATACTCTGGAGAAAATTAATAAGGATGGTGATAGGAAAGTGGTAAAGAATGGTGGTTGGCAGAGCAGCAGGAGCAAAGTCTGAAGGGCCACTGTGGGGAGGAACCAGCCAGTGTGAAGACTCGGAGACTGCAGTGTGTTAGAAGTACAGCCACTGAGACAGGGGATTAGACAAAGGGGACCTCAGGACAGGTGGGCAGGCATGATGATGTTGGGTCTTGTTAGGTCATCGTGCTGTGGCTGAGTTGTATTCCAGGTACAGAAGGAACACGGCTAGATTCTAAGAAAGTGAGTGAGTCATCTGACATGCAATTTGAAAAACAACTCTAGTTTCTGTGTAGATTGTTGAAAAGGGAAATTTTAGCTCTTAGGTGGTTTTGGTTTTGATTGTAAGGATGGGAGTATGCATCCCCACATTAAGTATTTGCAATGTTGTAAAAATTAACTTAAGTATGCAAAAGTATACTGTAAATCATGAAGTATTATATAAGTTATAAGATGGGACTGTTTTGAAAACAAGTTATGCCATGTGGTGGTGGCACACACTTTTAATGCCAGCACTTGGGAGCCAGAGTCAGGTAGATCTCTGTGAGTTTGAGGCCAACCTGATCTACAGAGTGAGATCCAGGATAGGCATCAAAACTACACAGAGAAACCCTGTCTCCAAAAAAAAAAAGAAAAAAAGAAAAGAAACTCAAGTTATACATTTTTGTATCATATCATTGTTTCCTTTTCTTAATTTACATTATTGAGAATTTGTATATTTTCTTTATTAGTAAGTTCTTTAGCCAAGAGTAGTGCTGTGACATAATATACATTTCTGGTACCAAATGGTCAGTCCTGAAAACATGTATACAAGTAACATTGTACAGATGGAGGAGGTTATATTTATGTATTAGGAATATATATATATATATGTTTATATATATTTATATATATGCATACACACAAACATATATGAATGTAACAACAATGAAAAAAGAGGCCATGAATTTGACAGAGAGCAAAGACTAGGAGGCCTTGGAGGGAGGAAAGGGAAGGGAGGGAGGAAAGGGAGGGGAGGGAGGAGATAATATAATTATATTATAATCTCAAAAAATGAAATAAATAATTTAAGAGAAGTTGAAACCTTGACTACTTTGTTGATTTAAAATTGAAGCCCCAGGCTTTGTGTGCAGCAGCAATTTGTTTCTGGCCCCTCAGCACTCCAGAATTAACTCTGTTAGTGATTCTGTACCTACTGATATCCTAATACTAGTTTCTTAGTCTATGCACTTAATTATTAACTGTGTTAACTGAAAACTATTTAATGTGACAGCCTCCAGCCACAGGGGACTAGAATTACTGTTTAAGTTTGAAGAAGTATGACCACAGAAAGATGTAAAAACTTTAAATTTTTATCACGATAGAACCTGTCTCAAAAAAAAGATGGTGGTAGAATGATGATACTGGGTTAAGTGAGGTTGTCCAGGCTGAGGGCGACAGACACCACGTGTTCTCTCTGACGTGGGTCTGTCTGATGTAGATCTCAGCTGCTCATGTGGATAACTGCTATCCACGTGGGGTGGGAGAACTAGAAAGGGCCCACAAGAGGGAAAAAGTTTATTTTAAGCAGAAAGTTACTGTATAATTAAATCTAAGTAGATGCTAGCTGTATTTAAAAACTAAAAAGGTCATAATTAAGGTCTGACCACCTGTGAGAAGTTTTAAATCCTGATCATGTTCTTTTAGGAATTGCTGTCAAGTTCACTTGCAGGTGCGTCTGCTCTTCTGATGATGACCCTGCTGCTGCTGCTGCTGCTGCTGCTGCGGGGCCTCCTGTTTTTGTGCATTTCTACATGTTAAACTATTTCCACTGAGTTTCATTGTTCTTGTGTTGATTCTTTCCTTCTTTATTAGTTCTCATTATGCAAATTTAAATCTTAGAATAAAAGTAAAAGAAGGTAGTGCCAGAAGTACAAGCCGGGTCTTGCTAATCCTGGATCTTTTTGTCCACAGCTTACTCCTGAATGTGGGTTGTTTGCCATGCCAGGAGTTGAGAGAGAGTTGGATGGATTTTGTTTAGGATTTGGGTGTGATCTGCAGAGATGGCATATGGTCTGATCAGAAGCCCTGTGTCTATCTCCAGCACTTAGTCACTCTAGCCCAGTGGTTCTCAACCTTCCTAATGCCACGACCCCTTAATACAGTTCCTCATGTTGGGGTCACTCCCAACCATAAAATTACTCTGTTGCTACCTCGTAACTGTAATTTTGCTACTGTTACGAATTGTAATGTAGCTACGTGATCTGTGATTCCAAAGGGGTCGTGATCCACATTGTTCTAGAACTATTTCAGTTCCCACTCTTGATGCTTGGGATACAAAAGTAAGCAATGAAACATTTTTTAATGTGTACCTGTAATAAGGACGACTGTATAGTAAATCAGGTTGTCTCTGTGCTGACAAGGTAAGATAAGGGAACAGAATGGCCAGGCATGGAGGAGGAAAGGCCTCTGCTGTTCTGATGAGTGGCATTTGGGCAGTCAGTAAAGAAAGCCTAAGTACAGACGTGTGGATAAAGAGGAGAGAGAGCTTTTGAGGTAGAGGGAACAGGCAGGCAGAAGGAGCGAGAGGGACCAGAGCTTTCAGGAAACGGCATGGCCAAAACAGTCGTGCGTGAGTTTAGAGGTAACTTTCCCCTTTTCTGATATGTGATGTAAACAGGGTTGGAACTTCTTACTGTTTTTTGTTTTTCAGTTAACAGAAGAGGAAATAGCTACAATATTACAATCAACTCTTAAAGGACTGGAATACCTTCATTTTATGAGAAAAATACACCGAGATATCAAGGCAGGAAATATTTTGCTCAATACAGAAGGGCATGCAAAGCTTGCAGATTTTGGAGTCGCAGGTCAACTTACAGTAAGTAGAAAAGGTTACTGGTACCAGTACTTTAGCTGTGTTCCCAGAAGGTCATTGAGTGATTCATGTGATTCATTTTCCTCATTTTCCTTGTGTGTGTGTGTGTGTGTGTGTGTGTGTGTGTGTGTGTGTGAGAGAGAGAGAGAGAGAGAGAGAGAGAGATATTCGTGTGTATGCCTGTGGGCACGTGTGTGCATATTTGTTTCATATGGAAGCCAGAGTCCATGTTGGCTGTCTTCCTTGATTGCTCTCCACCTTACTTTCTGAGAAATTGTCCTTCACTGACCTGGAGTCATTGATTCAGACAGGCTGGCTGGCCAGTGCTCCGGGAATCTGCCTGCCTCTCTGTGCCTCTCCAGTTGGGATTACGGTGTGTGCTGTAGCATCTGGCTTCTTGTGTGGAGCTGGAGAGCTGCACTCAGGTTCTCATACTTACATGGCAAATACCTTACCAACTGAGGTGTCATCCCGGCCCCTACTTATTTAAAATATATATATATATATATATATATATATATATGTATATATATATACATTACTTAATTTAATTATGTAATACACATTTGTAGAATTTACAAGAAGATTACCAAATAGGTAGTAGGAGTTTTAGATCTTTTCTGGGGTTCAAGTTCATGATTTAATGTCTATAAAAATGGAAACTAACATAAGACAGGAGTATTGATTTAATTCTAATACATCAGGGACGTAAAAGGAAGACAGATTGGAGCAGGCTGCTTTCCTTCAGCAAGGCAGAGGCTCCCATCCGGCCTCCAAGCAGTTCAGTCAGCGCACTGGAAGCGCTCCGGCCTGCTTCAGTGTGGGCTCCTAATTTCCCTCTGTTCTCGCTTGTGCTTGCCAGCGAAAAAGGAAGCTGTTCAAAACAGGAGGACTAGAAGGATCTGGCTTTGTAAAATAACCGACTAAGTTAAGAGTCTATGTAGAAAAATGGAAACAGTTCTACATAGAAAACACGAGTCTCCAACAATATTACACCAAGGGTTTTCTTGGTGAGT